ACAGTAGTATCTTTTGAACTTTGCATCTATTAACATAAATTTCCGCTATATCCATCATTCTTCTAAACATCGGCCTCGATTAGCCCTGGTTAAAATTCCTTAATAGCCTATTCCAAACCAATTTTCGAAATAAAAATTTTCTAGGGTAAAAAGGTCGCGCCTCATTTTCCCCATACATTCCAAGACCAATTCCGGCGAAATTCGGGTTAAAACTAAATAGTTTGTTTTTGCCATAACTCGAAAACTACTGTACCGATCGGGCTGAAAGTTTCTGTGAACATTTTAAATTGCCTTCCGCAGCTCTGGTGAATTTGAAGTCGAACGGGTTTGAATCGCAAATGCCAGCGGACCTTTTTTATTGGGACACCCTGTATAGGTTTAGGCTTAGGGTTACGCTTATGCTTATGCTTGGGCTTAGGCTTCTTTTGGCTTGGCTAACGCTTAGTTAAGCTCCTTGGCTTCGCTTGAAAAATCGCATAGAATTTTGCTGTCACCATCCCTTTAAAGCTCCAGAGTCGGCCTATAGTCTTAGTTGGTAGGCCTATAGGCCATGTTCGGGCCAGGGTCCGTTTTATTCACCGTAGTTTGAACTGAAATAGAGCTGGAGGGAGTAGGGAGAGAGAGAGAGAGAGAGAGAGAGAGAGAGAGGTGAGAGAGTGGGAGCGAGAGAGACCGAGAGACAAAGACAGAGGGAGAAAGAGAGAGAGAGAGAGAGAGAGAGAGAGACTTTTTACATCCACCGTTTAGCAAAAGAGCTAGAATTTCGCGCGCTTCTCTGTCCTAGTTCCTGCCCCGCAAAATGATTCTGTCGCCGCGCTTCGAATTTTCCGGGGTCAAATTTCAGGAATCCCGGTGTGCGGACAGAGTGGCTCCTCCGTCACTTTGTTCCGCCTCCTCCACCCCCTAAATGGGTCCCGTATAAATTAGGGGCCCGGGTCGCCAATTTCGGCGCTGGAAAACAGCGGTTTTTAGCCGTTTTTCAGACTCCGCAGCGCCGATATTGCCTGGCTACCGGTGAAAATAGTGATTAACATCTTGAGGGGTGAAGTTCAGGGGAATCTTTGCTGGCACTTCCCCTCATCAGCATTTATCCTAATTTCTTCAGTTTGAATTCTCATTGTTCTAAAATTTTGAATAAATGCAAAATTGCCATGTCGCTATAGTGGTTTTTGATTTTAATAAATCTAACTAATAATTCTGACAAATTTTTCAAACAAAATTTTCTTATATACGTTTTTAATCGGTTTTTCCTCATTCGGTTTTTAGGGTTACACTTTATGGCATTCCCAAGTATTCGATTATGAATTTAAGTAAGATTTATTGCTTAGGATGTTCAATTCAATTCTCAAAATTCTAGGCATTTATTATTCATTTTTTATTCAACTATTTGCTATTCCTTTTTCTTAAAAATCCGTGACTTTTTGTTTTTAGAATACATCACGTGTTTACTCTTAAAAGACCCAACCCGCGCTCTCCACCCGAGTTTCATGCTAATTGAAGATTTATCGCAACTGGCTCGTATCCGACTTTTCTTATTCGTCTTGTGCTTTTGCGTTTCTACCCGATTCCCGGAAAATGCGTATCAGCTCTAAATTCAGTTTATTTTTCACTTTTCCTGTTATTCGAAATTTAATTCCGCGTTTTGCTCTTGCCGCCTGAAAAGTTCCTCGAGATCTTATTTATCGAACCCGTCTTTTCGATCCTCCCGGTAACGTCATCCGGAAATGCCGAACAAAAAATTTTCTGAGGCTGACGATATCGTTATTTTTGGTTGTATTTCCTCACCTACGATAATTAGAATTTGGCCATTCTTTCCGTTATATTATTCTGGACACCTTTTCAGCTTTTGAGCCGCAGCGGACCGTCCACTGATTTTGTCTCCACCACGTGACCGAAAATAAGTTCATTCAACGGAAAAATCTAGAATAGAATTAGGGATACTGTGGATTTCACTGGATTCTTGGGAAAAGCTTACAAAGGGCAACTCCCACAAAAAAGGGCACAACTTTTTGGTTGATTAAATTTAGTAAAAAGAAGATGATACGCAGGGGCGTAGCCAGAAAAAAATTTCGGGGCGGGCCCCGAAAAAATTTTTGCGAAAAACTCAAAAATTAACGAGAAAACAGGAACATTTTGGAAAAAACGCTATATAACTCTACAAATAGCAGTAAAAACGTGACAAAATAACGGCGCAGGCAGCAAAATTTTTGAGAAAATAAAAATCATAAGGGCCCCCTTATGAAATTTTCGCGGCCCCGGCCGATTTCGGGGCCGGGCCCAGGGGGCCCACCTTATGCTACGTCCCTGATGATACGTCAAACGTACTTTGATACTACGTACGGTTTAAGGCAACTCGTGACAGAATTTACCGCAGATATTTTTACATCTGGAGCCCCTCGATTGCCCTTTCTCAAGCGCTATCCATCCCTCTCAGTCTCTCGCGCCCTTTCTCGCTCTCTCTCTCGCTCTCTCTCTCGCAACATTAGACGATTCTAAGATCTACCTACAAAAATTAGAACCACTTCCCTGTTCCTTTAACGGGCACTTCCGGTTATTTTCGGGTCGAGCTAAAAGAAGACCCATATCCCACGCCATTTGTTTTCCGACCCGACCCTAAGACGTGGATCGGGTGGGGGCGGTGAACTTTTCTAAAAAGCTGGTCCCAGGACCCTTTCAGACCCGGGGGCCATCTTTGCAAACCGCCTGGTCCTTCCAAATCTCAAAAAAATTGCCGTTCTCCGGTTTCCCGATTGCGCTGGGCGGGTCGTTAAAACAAGCGGAAATTCGAGGAGGCTGAGCTGAATATTTTTTTCGAGGCAGCGTTTGGTTGCAGGGGTTGTTGGAGTTTTTTTTATGATTTTTGTGCTTGTCTTTAGAAAGCTTAGAAAGCTTGTAGGCTAAGGAATAGGCTTAGGCTCGGGCTTGGGCTTAGGCTTCTAGCTGAGCCTGGTCGTGCACCCCACGTAGCTTTGAACTTTTGTTTACCCTTCCCCAACCCTTTACAGAAACACATACATCTTCCCAAGCTAAATTTTTAATGTCTACCCGTTTCGATCTCTAGCAACCCATTAATGCTCGATCTCAACAACATTTCCGGGATAGTACAGGGCTGAAGGGCAGGTTTTAGGCTCGTTCGAAATTCCACAATCGTTGTACTTTAGTTCTTGTTTAGTATACATTCTATTGTAGCCTGTTTTGATTTTTGATATCGATCGCTTTCTAGCCATTTTAAGACATGTCGGTATAACATGGTTTAGGTTTCCTTGGAGAACCTAGTCAAGCCGCCACACGGACCGCCCTTCACAGACCATTCAATTACCATGGCCAAACCCCTAAAAAACTGCTCTTTCAATTTACCCCCGCTTTTACTTTCTGATATCACCCCCGAAAAACCGGATTATCGCAAGGTATTGGGGGGTAATTTGCTCGAAAAACTTGACCAAGAGCTTTATCTTTTCGCCAAATAGCTGCTTGTTGGTTTGTGAATAGCTTAGACCTTGCGCTTAGGGATTTATCGGTATTTTTTATGTCAAAGATTCGTGAGCGTTCCTCGACGGGTTCGAGTGGAGTTCCATATTTTGCCCGCCAAGATCTCCGGGCCGTCGGGCCGGCGGGGGTGGGAACCACTGGAATATTTTGGTCGGTGAGCAAAACTCAGGATGAAAAGGTCGTAATGGATTGAGCTTAGGTTTCGGTCGGTTTAGGCTTAAGCTTAGGCTTAAGTTTAGGCTTAGGTTTAGGATCAAGCTTAGGCTCATGGTTAGGCTTAGGTTTAGACTTGGGCTTGAACTTAGGCTGGAACTTGGACCTGAGCTTGGGCTTAGGCCTGAGTTTGCGCTTGGGCTTAGTCGCTTCAGCTTCCCTTAAGCCTAAACCTAGATCACAATTAAACCTCACAATTCCTCAAATTTCAAAACCGTTCCGACCCCATCACTTTTGTTTGCCGCATTTAAAATCCCTTAAGAAACGCCCGGCAATCTTTTCCGGGCCTTCCCCAAGCCGCTCTGCTTACGCACAAGCTCTGAAAAATTCAAGCACTTCGTCAAGCCGACCCTGGTCTCCCATTGTTCGCCTGGCTCCAAAAACACGTAAAAAGTAGCAGGGGGTAACTTTGAAAGTTGGGGTCATTGAATAATTCCTAGGGACCTTGGGTCGACCCGCCCATCTGGTAAGTTATGTAGTTGTAAGCAACTTTTTCCCGGGGCTCTCTCTCATCCTTTCTCACTCTCTCTCTCTCGCTCTCTCTAGCTCTCTTTCTCTTCCTTTCTCTCTCTCGCTCACCCTCTCTCACCCTCACTCTCTCACTCTTACGCTACACTCCAATTTCCAAGCCTAACCTTACCCATTTTCTTGACTTCTCTGCTGCTTTCTTAGAGTTCTCCACCTCGAGATCTCAACTCAGTCATGCCTGAACAAATGGATTTGTGACAGCTTCTTTTCCCCTCCTCTGAAGACGTTGCCGCGCGCGAGCCCTCCTCGATTATTCCCCCGACTTTTTGGTCCTTTCGCGGGGAACGGAGAATGCTGAATGTTTCACGGGGCCCCTTCTCAATGGAGAGGAGGATGATGTTTTGATCCCCGGTTTTTGAAAGAAATAAAAAAAGTCAGAGCGCGGATTTTGTGGGTCTCGAAGCGTACGTGTCAACAACAATCTTTGTGGTCCGAGTTCTACAAATTTCTTGCAAAAAAAAAGCAAATTACTGGAGATTTTATAGGGCCTTAATCCTCTATATTTTCATACGTATTTAATAGAGCGACTCTAACAATTTGTTTATAAATATCGTTTTGCAAGGAAATTTGCCCTCCACGCCCGTCTTCCAAGCATTTTCACTTGAAAAACTATGTTTTTGCTCTATTTTTTGCATGTTGGACTTTGTATTTCAGCACTGTCGTTTTTATATTGATTTTATATTATATTTAAGCTCAAGATACCTTCTAGTATGCTAATTAAGCCTTTTTAGCGTCCCCCGCCCGCCCGCCGGTACCATCTCGACAGCAGAATGCGCCAAACAGCTGGGTCATCTTTCTTCTGGTACTTGGTTGCCTCGTTTTTGATGTTGGCCAGCGTCGCTTCCGCTTTTTACGTGCCGTATGGAGAGGTAGAATTTTTGTAACCAGCCTTAAATACGTTTCTTAGCCTTAATTTTTCTGGAAAATACTGGAATAGATGCCTTGGCTCAAGGAAAAGCCTATTATCAAAAATTTCACACGCTAGCAGGATTACTTAGTGTCCAGAGGATCGTAGTGTAGCCGAATGAACCATAGCAATTCGAAAAAAAATTAAAAAAAATCATTATTAGATTTAGCTTTGAAATCTCTTTAAAACGGGTTTTTTAGGACTACTACTTCGCGCCGGCAGCGGAAAAACGATCAGTCGCCTTCGCACCACGGTAAGCATTCTTTTTTTCGTTTTAGGAAGTCATCCTGTAGCTTTTTAGTTCGTAGTATCTTTATAATTTTTAACGTCAATTATGACGTGGAAAATGTGCCCCAATTTAGCCCCGGATCCATTTGGAGTAAGCTGCAATCGAAAATCTTCTACAAGGGGTAATTCGAGCACAAAATCCACCCAGTGGTGAAGCCGGAGAAGCACGGGAAAATCCCGGGCGAAAAATGCACAAATCCCCGAACAGCAGAATTCTAACCGTCCTCCTCCCACTCACATCACATCCACATTCACAAGCGCAACACCGTAGTCAAGACGAAATCGGGGGATAGGGTTTCGTCGGGATTCTGAATTCTGAAGAAAGGAAGAAAATCGAATGAGCAAAGATGTCAAGAATTTCCCGCGTTTAGATCTTAAGAATTAACAACCAATTTCTGATAAATTAAGATTTAAATATATTAATATCAACATTTCATAAGATTCAAATAACTAAGATTTATAGAAAACTCCCTGAAAAAATTTGAGACTGTTCTTAAAAATTTTTAAAAATGTCGAATTTTAAAAACCAAAAATTAAACAAGACAAGATTGGTGATGCACAAAATTGTCAAATTCATTTTAAATAATTTAATTTAGTAATCTATAATGTATTTTCCCATTTTCAGACACGAGAAACGCGAATTCAGCGCCGACGACCTATCGCTCCGATTCGGCAAGCGCTCCGGGTCGTCATCGTTGCACTTCAACCCCGAGGATATCCACCTTCGATTTGGGCGCAAATAAACTTTCAAAAAAATTCTAAAAAAATAAATCCATTAATTGTTTTACCCCTAATCTACCTGTTTTGACGCCTTTGTGATCTCAACGCACCCTCAATAAACGCAAAAATGATTTGAGAAAACCGAGTTTTTAATACTGCACGGACCTGGGGCCAATCGACCTCTTGAATCATCATTTTTAATGTTATAAAATCTCACTCCAGCTTAAATATTAGCCAGGCTACTTGTTTATGTTAATCATCTCCAGAAACTGCACCGCCTCGTCAATGGAATAAATTGTTTTTTCTGTTTTCCACTTCAGTAAATTTCGATAAACCTACAATATTGCAAACTACGCGCATTTTTTGTGAGCTATAGCGCCAGAATGAACCTATTTATTGGCCCAACTATAAAAATATCAATTCAGAGCTTTAACTGAAAATATCTTGGAAAATTCCGAAAAAGTCAATCATTAAAAAATCATTTCATGTCCTTCCAAGCATTTGGTTGCTGGAAACACAAGGAAATTAGGCAATTTCTTCCTACCGCATTTTTCGACTATTTTTCAGGAAATTGGGGTCACGCCGTGTTAATCCTTGTCGTCGAGTTTGTTATTGGCGAGAAATAGGCTTTTTGGAGCTTTATTACTATAGAATCTTTTTACTAATTTCTCGACAACATACATCGATCCGTGCACAACAAAAATTGTGCTCAAATGCGCCGGCCGGGAATCCAATGAACCAACGCATTAATTTGCGAATATTTTTTTGGTCGGCTGGCCCACGAATGGGCTAGCATGTGATCCGACGATTCGTGCAATTCTTTTCATTTTGCACCGATAGTACGCGAAAAATAAAAGTTTTTTGATTTTTCCAAAATTTGGTGCTGGCTTACAAAACATTCAACGAATTATCGACAAGATCGGGAAGGAAGATACCTCGTTTTTGATTGTTGATCACCTATTTTCATCGGTTCTCTTAAGTTAATTTACACCTGGCGAGGCGTAAAAACCACTTCCACGTAGGCAGGGACGTAGCGTAATACCGGCCCCGGGGTCCGGTCCCCCCCCCCCATAAGGGAGGACCCATATGATTTTTATTTTCTCAAAAATTTTGCTGCCTGCGGCGTTATTTTTTTTTCACGTTCTTACGGCTATTTGTAACGCTATGTAACCTTTTTTTTGGTTAATTTTTGAGATTTTTGGAATCATTTTTCGGTCCCCCCCGAAATTTTTTCTGGCTACGCCCCTGCACGTAGGTTATGCCATTCTGTGTTCTCCTGGATTTTTGCATCAGACGAGGTCTTTAGATTAGCATAGTCAGTAATTTTCCGATTAGCTACTGTGCTATACATTCAATATACTTGTGCGACACGCCGTGAATGTTTTCCTACATTAGGTACTGGATTACGACCTGTCGAAAGCGACCAAACGGCGTTCGCGCGGCTTGTCGCCTCCTCCTGAAATTTCTAGCTAGTAATTACTAGCTAACAAAATTCATGACTTGCCCTTCCCTTTAATAAGGGTGTACCTTATTGACTAATCTACGAAAATTAAAAATTGCCCTTCACCATCGTTTCCCGGACATTTTAAAGTGGTTTGCCCGTCAAGGGTTGAGTTCCTCCTCAACGACCCCCAACGCGTGAAATCGATGCTATTTTAAAGGTGTTCGCACGCTCAAAACTTCAGCACCAATCCATTTCCCCGCAATGTTACTCAAAAAAAAAATGGCGGCAATTAGACTAGCGTGCCCCCGGCCGACCGCCGTTAAATTGGAAATCACGCCCGAATCTGGGGGGCAGTTCTGGGCCCAGTTTTCCACAAGCGGAAAAGAGCCATGTTTTTTGGTGGCCTACGGAACAAGCCGAGGAAATTATGAAAAGCGGCTAGACGCGTAGAGGCTGTACTCGGAATTACCAGACGACGCTCTAATCGCTGGCGTAGTTGTCATTAGCGCATCATCAAAACAGGGTTTTAATGGCGAAGTCCCGAAGGAATATACTGGATACATTTTGAACTCAATGGTCTATTTTCATTGTTTCTAGCGTGTTTCTTTCCAAATATACTTTGTATATTTTTCCATGAAAAAGCCTTAACAACAAAGTGGTCTTTTTGTTGTAAAGTCCACGCAAAGTTGCATTCATTTTTACACCGAAAAGATTTAAGTTGCAATTCATATTTTTGGATTTCCATAATGACAATATATTTATCTTCTGCTATATTTGGGCGGTATTTTCGTTATATTATAACACCTTATATTTGTGCTAAATTCTAAACCTAAGATAATATTTTCAGCTCAGCCCAATGGAATGTCCGGCATCATCAGCCTAAATTACACATTTTCGCAATATTTTGTCGAAGCCTACACCCCGAATTCCTTCAAAAGTGAAGCGTGGCGAAATATGGTAATTTTGTCCTGATTTTTACAAAAATTTTCCGTTTTTTTCAAGATTTGCGGGTTGCCGAGCACAATTATTCTTGGGGCCATGACGTCTTTATTACTCTATCGAAGGACGTTACTCAAGAAATATTCGGTAAGCCTATTGATTTTAAATCCACCGAAAGCCGTTTTTATCAAGCTTAAAGCTTAAAAAGATTTGCTAATTTATAATTTGAGGCGTAAAAACTGAATATAAAATATAATATAATATTTTAGAACACAATTTCATTTATGACAATAACGATTTTTATACTATCCACTCCTATCGTTATCTATAACACAACTTGGTATATTCTGCTCTGTTTTATGGACCGTATTACGTATCCGGCCGTGATATGCCTATTTTTGAAAAAATCGCCCAGCTCAGTATGGTATTGCTCCTTTTTGGTGCCTTCGGTAAGCAATTTTTCAGCAATTTTTCCATTATTGATTTAAACTTTTACAAATCATAGATCAAAAAATTTTCAGACAAAAATGTTGCAGGTAGTTGCCCTAAATCGCTTTCTTATGATCGTCTACCATCACCGGACGACGATACGATTTTCTTGTGTTGTATTGTTTTTTATTTGGTTACCAATGGTAAGTGGCAATAAAAATACAGAAAATTACGGTATTTACTGTATATTAAGTCAATAGAATATATTTCATGCAAAACGATATTTATTGAATCGGAGTTTCAGCTCCTGTACGACATCAGCCACTTCCTTATCGGCGTCCCGACAAATAATGATAATTGCCATCCACTTCTTTTTACAAGTGTACCGATTTTACAGCAGGTAAGCTAACTTATTCACTAGTTTGTAAGCTATTAAATGAGTTTAATTAACAACATTAAAACGTGTTGGTAAGAACCTAATCCTCTTACAAATTCCAGGCCTATACCTTCTACGTCTTTTTGGCAACGTTTTCTGGAGTTGCGCTGAATGCGGCTACTTTTATTCACATTAAAAGATATGCTAGAAGAGGTAGAAATTATATTTTTCATATATAGAAAATCTTTTGCTCAGCCGGAATGGCCGTAAAAGTGGACGACAAACAGCTTTTCTACTCTGTTAGTCTCCAATCCCTGGTGCCGTTTTGTAGCACGGGGCTAAAGGCATTATCGACATTGTCGGTTTATTCTAATCGTGAGTTTAAAAATAATTTCATAATTAAATTACAGTAGGAAATAATGTTACTTTTCAGAATTCCGACTTCCCGATTGGGTGAACGCGTTCTCGAACGTCTACGCATTATTGGGCTCCTCGTTGATACCGTTGATTTCGATTGCCATGGTGAGTTCAGATACCTTGTGCTCGTTAAAAAATGGGAGTCTGTCTGCATGTCGATATCAACAAGCCATTAGCGGCGGACTTTCCTTATATTTTACTGCCTATCAAAATGAAAATAACATTCGTGGTACCGGATCTAATCGTCGAAAAATCGGATATTAGTCATTATTTTCCAAGGTTCAAAATATCTAGTGCATTACGAATCGATTACCGCTTTAATGTCGTCAAAATATCTAATTTTGCAAAATTTCCCCGGTTTTAGTTTTTATTAAACTTATTTCTGCCTCTTTATTTTAATTGGTAATTTGTTTAACATATGCTCCACAATACGCGAATGATTTTCGAAATATTTTTATCAATAGCTTTTTTCGCTTTCCAAACTACACCCTGTTCCGTTTCCTTTTTCTTCCTGTTTTGCCCCCCCGACCCCCGATTCCTAAACCCATTATCAAGGGTAGTTTGATTGCTTTGGCAAATTGGGCGTGCGCGGAGGTTTTCCATTTCCGATTTCCCAGTAAAGCCCAGAGTCCTCGAACTATTTCGGGCCGAAAATTAAATCTGCGCCGCAAAAATAATGCAAGTTGTAGGTGGGCAAGCTGCGGCGGTCGCTGATCAAAGAGCCGGTGACGAACATGGTGAACAGCTCGCTGAATCGGAAGACGATGTTCTTTCAGAAGACGGCCAGGTAGAAAGCCAAATACTCAAGTTTTACGGCGTCAAAGGAACAACAAAAAGTGATTTAAAATTTTCTAGAAGAATTTTTTTTTTAAAAAATAAACCACAAAATAATTCTCCTTATTTTTAGGCTCGCGCTTGTGGCAAAGAATAAAAACAAAACCCAGCCCTCGAGCTCTTCCTCAACTGCTGCTCAACAAACGCAACGTAAGACCCTTGGTTCAATTGCTGAACTACAAGCTACAACTCTAAGAACTGCAGCTTAAATAAATCCAGAAAAAATCAATATGAATCTATCAAAACTCAATTGTCGACGGCAAATTTCAAAAGTTTGCGTGTATCATTTCCCATAGCAAAATACCCTTCATTCCAGCCCATAATACAACAATATAAAAAATGATTGCATAATTACACAGAGATCACATGAATTTGTACAAAAAAGTGAAAGTAGCAAAAATTATCATCAATCTTCATAGACCTCCTTCTTCTTGTGGCTGCGCTTGATCTCGCGGTAGGTGAGGACGTAGCGTTGCGCTGCCGGCATCGGGGTTGAGTAGCCGCCGGCGTACTGTAAATGTTATTATTTTATCGTTTTCACTTTTTACAAGGTGATTGTTTATATATTCTAAAAACCCACCGATGGGTCTTCAAAAGCAATCAAATAGTCTTCGGTCGCACATTTTGGGGTGGAGACGACGGCGCCTAAATTTGCTGTTATTTCGAAGTCCGGAATTCGAATGCATAGTTTTTAAAAATAAATTTGAACTTGAATTTTTTCAATTTTAAATTTAGAAAACAGAATAAATTTAATTACCTTTATAAAAACATGTAGTTTGTGGGTACAGCGCCAGCACGATGGCATCAACCGGGAACAGGGCGTGCGCGTCTCGTAGCGGGTCGGCTCGATATTCCGGAAGCCCGAGAACTTTCCGCTTGACGACGATCTCGGTCTAAATTCTCTTTAGTAATTTTCTGGTAATTGCTACTTTTCCGTCCTCAATATCCTTGACGCTGACCTTCGCATTGGACACCGCATCTTCAACCTGAAAATGGGGGGAAATCAGATTAATCAGAAAAATTATCGCGTTTTTATATCTTCAGGTCATCTGCAACAGGAAGAAATTTGTCCTGCCCACCTCAGCCAGAATCCAATTCTCCTCAATATTAGCGGCAACAAAATCCCCTTTTTCGAAGGTATGCGAATCCGGGTAGCCAATCGCGCCAACACCATACGAAGGGTACGGGGCGTGCGGGTCGATGTAGAGCGGCAGGGCAGCGGCCTAATATTCAGATTGTTAAGGTAGAATAGGATGCAATGCATTTTAAAAGCACGAAATGAAATTTTTAAGAAATGATGTCGACTCACCTCATTGTGCACAACAGCCATCAGCGTCTGTCTCCGCACCAGCCCCTCCATCTTGGCGTCCTTGTGGCGTTGTCGGATCTTTTCAACGTCCGAGATGAGCTTGCGGTACGAGTCGAGTTCGGACTCGAGTGTTCTCTGTGCCTCGTTGAGCAGGGGAACAATCTGAAATACTTTCCTCGTAAAGGATTAAGCTCCAATTTCTAGCTTTACTGTTCGGAAAAACCTGGAACCCACCTGGCCCTTATTCTTCCTCGTATACAGCCCATCTTTCTGCTTGTTGATCAACAGCTGGAGGGCGTCGTTCGAGCGGTCCTTTTTGATCATGTAGCCTTTTAACTAAAAAAAGTCAAACAATGGAAACGTTTCGAAGTATGATACCTTTTTGACAAATTCCTTGGTCGCCTGGTGTTTGCGCTCCTCCAAATAATCATCCTCGGTCTTTTTAGAAGTCGACGCTTTGTGGCTCATTGCCTGGAAAGGGGCTTGAGTAAGCCCTTGGCGCTCGAGGACGCAGTGTCTTAAAGGCATCGGCAAGGCAGCACTATGGATTTTTGGATATGAATTTGCGCAATTTTGTCGCAGACGCGACATGCAACGCGCACGTAGCTCGCCCAGGAGACAGCCATATTATAGCCAGGCCAGATCTAGTGCGAGAAATTAACATACACCAAAAACTCTACAACCTTCGCCGTTCTTTTAAAAAAACGTAAAATCATTTTTTAAGATATTTTATCAGCAAAAAACCGATTTCAAAGCCCATCTTACAAGAAAAAAAGTTCAACATTTATTCATCAATCACTAAAATCACATTTTTATCGCCGAAAGGGCAAGGAAATTGGGGAAGTGCTGCCGGGGATACCCGTATCGACTTATCAAGAGGCAGAATTGGGCTTTATTTTATTTTTGGGTTGAGCACAACGCAATGTGGAAAAGGCAAACATGCAAGTGAATCGGGTTTTTGAAAGTGTTTTAGAGCAGGAATTAGTATCAGAAGGTCTAAGCATTTTTCTGGAGCTTCGGCTGGGCGACAAGCACCTCGTAGGACCCGTCGGGGACAAAATATTCTAAAAAAACACAGTGTAAAAATTGAAAGTGCCATACCTAGAACCCTGTAGTCATCCTCGGCCATCTGGACGACACGACGTTGGTAGCCGGGCGGAGCGCCGCGGAGCCGCCGGTTCGTCTGCAGCTCGTTGTACTTGGCCTCTTCGTAGAGTCGACGGAACAGGGCGCCTTCTTCGTGCTGAAAAATACATTCAAAAATACCCAGAAAAAAATGTACATTTTAAAAAATCAGAATTTTTCACGCACCGGAACTGGAGCTTCCGGGTCGTCAAAGTATTCGGCCTCATCGAGCTCTATGACTTCTTCCGAAGTTGACGGCTTCATCATTTCGTCGACAGATATCTGAAATTTGGATAAATCGGGTCGTTTTGTATCAGACTGGCTGATATTTCAGCGTGAATTCATAGTCGAAATTTAAGTTCTAATTTAAATTTAGAATTTTACGTATGCATTTTTCAGGGCCCGATCTATGTTTTGATATTTCAAACAGGATTCCGCTTTTATTCGACATTTTGATAAGAAACCGCAAAATTCGTCGATTTTCAAAAAAGGCAAGCTAGCAAAGATACTGACCACTTCCTCCTCAACGGCATACTCCTCGGCCGCGTATTCCTCGACGTGCATCGGGCCGCCATTCTGAAGACCGCCATTGCGGTAGCGCAGCACCTCCGCCAGGGAGTGCTGGCCGACAATGTTGCCGTTGTGCCACAACTGCACCAAGTCGCTGCCAATGATGCGAATCTGAAACAAAAAAGTATAAAATTCTCCCTCTAATAAAACATCAGGAATCTATTTTCTCGGTGGTTATAAAATGTATGAAATCTATGAAATCGGTATACCTCCGTAAAATGCTCCTGCGTCATCATCCTCAACCGGCCAATGTCCGCCTCCGACAGCAACCCCTCGTCCTCGTCCTCCTCCTCGGCCGGGTTCCTGTGCAGCTTCTCCTGGTTCTGGAATTGAGCTTGAACTTGGGCATCGACTTGAACACTGAGTTGCATGCAATTCTCGACATGGTCATTTTGCTAAAATGGGGTGAATGTGGCCTGAGAGGGTCAAACTAACCGCGGGGACCTCTACATTGGCCAGGGAGTATCCGGGCTGACGGCCTTGCTGAGTTTCGGGCATCATTTCCGGGTGCTTCTTCTGGAGATGGCGGATGGCGCGGCACATATTATAGGGCCGATGGAGGGCGAACGAAATGTGGCACATCAGGCACTCGATGAGCTGCGAGTGGATGAACTCCATACAGCCGTCGGAGATGTGCTCAAGGCGGACCTAAATTTGGGCTGATTGAGCAAAAGGTGAGTATTTTCTTACCTTGCACAACTCGTAGCGCAGCTTCTCCTGCTCGTCCGGATGGCATTTCTTGTAGTGCAGGATGGCGCTAAAAGGATACCGATAAATTTTTAATAAAAAAAACAAACCCTGCCGACATGACTGCCGCCATGATGATAAAGCCGCATTTCCGGCAGCGCCATTGAGTGTCCGTTAGGGCTTCGACAAATTCAGAATCCGGGGAAGGGTGGGTTTGCCTGAAAATAATTTTGAAGTCTTTAATTTAAAAGCTTAATTTTTAAATAAGCAACAAACCTATAAGCCGGCATCACAAACGTCCGCTTCGGCTTGTTCCGCCGCCCGTACTGCATCCGGCTGTTCATCTGCGGCTTGGCCTCCTCGTCTTCCTCTAAATCACACCATATTAAGAAAAATTTAAGGATTATAATTCCGTTAACAGCTAAAATTCAGAACCCACCTTCCTCCTCATCCTCCTCGTCAAACTCCCGGCCTGCTGGGAGAGCTTCTTGTTGATGGCGCGGTTGAGCTTGTCCTCGGACTTGGCCTTGATGTTGAACTTGCGGCACTCGTAGTGCTTCTCGTCGGGCATCGTCACCTCGAAGTCTTCCATGTAGGTTTCGCGCAAGCGAGCGTTGACGACGAGTTCCTGGAGCAAACACCTCATTATAATTAAAAAAGGTCGCTTAAAAGCAAGAAAAAAATAGAAAAAAGCAGACCTCAATGCAAAGACGGCAATTTGGCACTTCGATGTCTTCGGCGTGAACTTCGTGGAAATGCATGGCAAGCGACGATTTGCTCATGAACATCCCACACCATATACACTAAAAATCACATAATTTTAAGGGTATTTAACTAAACGATAGAAAATTTTTTAAATCGTTAAATTCATACCTGAAGCCCATCAATCGCATCCATCGCCGCGTCAACCACCGCAAAATCCTGCAGGCTCAACGGCTTGCCATTTCCGGGCTGCGGGGCTTTGGATTGCCAGGTTCCGGCGCATCGATGGACCGTGGGGTGCCAGGCGTTGAAGTGTCGGACGAGGTGCATGATCTAAAAGACAAAGTTTAAAATAGATTTTTTTTAAAGTTTCTGGGATTTTAAAGCCCATTATGAAGCTCTCTCGGTCATCTACACACCTCAAACTTCTTGTTCAGCGACAGGATCGAGCCGCAGAGACCGCAGCGGGCGTGCAGCTTGTCGACGAGCGTCACAGGGACGCGGCGGCCCAGTTTTTCGACCTAAAATCAAAATAAAAATGGCTAAAAATCTGGCATGCCATCTTCTTTAGCAGACAATCCTGAAGCTGCGGCAGATCCATTTCCGCAGGGCAGACACGGACCTAAAAAAATCATTTTCACGGGGTAAATCACTAAAATTTAAGGCCAAAAACCATCATTTTCCCTTGCCGAACCTGCGAAATCTTCTTCACGGTCCGGGACATGTAGCTGGCGTACGGGTTTGCCGTCCGGAAGCCACTCTCCATCGAGCGCTTCTCGCTGAGGATCTTGTCGCGAAGCCACGTGTCGTAGGGGATCTCTTCGAGGTCTTGGGCCCCTTCACCGAGCACCTAAAAGTTGCATAAACTAAAAAGAAACGAATTCGTACATCAGGATGGACATTTGGCAAGTGTTCAGTCATCAGGAGTTCTTCGGGAACGATGTCGCCGCAAAGGCCGCAGCAGATGTTCTAAAAAAAGAGCTGTTCAAGAATATCATTTTAAAATCGAGTTTTTAATCGAAATTTTACGGATTTTTGCTAAACATTAACAATTTTTTTTTAGTGAAATACTTACGTTTTTGTCCAAAAAGTTGAACTCGACCGTCCGCACGTCATTCTCGTTGCCCATCGCGTTTTCGTCATCCTCGGCGTAGTTCATATCTACAAAAGATTTTTTCTTCTTTTTTATAATCAAAGAGACCAACCATCATCTTCCACAAAACCGTCCTCGCCCATCATTTCGCCGGGAACTTGGTAGCCGAGCTAAAAAAATCAATAACATAAGAATTCAAATTGACAACTCACATCTTCATCAAAATGGGCATCAGCGGCAGGGACTGGCGGAGGTTCGGCTTCTGCTACTTCCGGTTCAAGGCAGGGCGGGCCCTCGTCTTCGTCCTAAGAAATAGCTAAAAATAGAGAATACAGTAATTACATTGTCGCCAGTTTCGCCATTTTCGGCAGCATTTGCTGCAGCCAATGCCTCGCCGGCTGTCCGCTCCTTCTTCAAATCGGCCTTCAACGCATCCCCGACCGGCATATCGTCTTCTAAAAAGACCAAAAATGTCGTTAAAAAGGTTACCTACAAATTTAACGGTAAAATAAACATATTTAAAAACCCACCAACAATCTGCAGAGCATCACCGGCATCGTCCAGATCGATTTCTTGCACAAACTCGCCGGCGTCGTCGAGGTCGCCAAAGCCTATAGGAAATATGGCTAAAATTTCCTTTAAAAACGTACCAATCAATTTGCCGTTTTCTGTGTACATTCCATAGACTTCTCGCGGACCGTCATCGTCGCTGATGACCAGTTTCTAAATAATGAAATGATAGAATAACGCCAAAAAAGTCGAAACCTCCAAAATGATCGGCTGGTTGTTAATCTCCACAATCAGCTTCTCCTCGATTTCTTCGCCCTAAAGAGGATTTTGCCAAAAATCGCCCGAAAAATACCTGAGTTGTCCTTTGTGGAGTTGCCCGGCTGCTAGAGGCATTTTGAGAGCCGACCGGTTGGGGGCGAGTGCGGGGCGGTGGTGATGAAGCTGAAAAAAAATCATTTTAAAAACAATATAGAAACGAAACCTTGTTCTTGGCGAGGGGGGACTGGTCTGGTCGGAGGCGGCCTTCCGGTTGTCTTGTTGCCCACTGAGGTTTGGAGCATCTGGGAGCCGGCAGGAGGCTTGGGGAAGGTTGCTCCGCTGATTCGAGGCGGGCCGGCAACCTGAAAATATTTAAAGTAAGTTTTTCGCTTATAATAAGTTTATAGTACGCGAAAAAAACAAAGGAAAGCACCTACCAGCATCGGGGCAGCTCGGGGAGGCTGTGAAGATGATGACTGGGCGGCCGTGCGTGAATATTCGGGCACTTGATCTGAAAATGGAACTAAAATAGCTACCGGACAGCGGGTTTAACCTATTACGTTATGAAACCCGTATTTTTAACACATCTATCTTTTCTCCTCCATATCACGGTAAATAAAAGGCGCGTTGTTGTATAATAAAACATTTCAAATTAAATCGTGGGGTTTACCAACCTCGAGGCCCTCGCTTATTGATGACGACGGCCTTCTTAGGCACCGGGCTCGTTGCGACAACATCCACGCTCTCCCCCATCGCCACATCCATATCGACAAGTATTTCGCTGAACATTGTGGACTAGAAAAAGATATTTGATAAATCTAGAACCACGTACATCTCGAGGAATGCGAGGTGGTGGCTGGCTGTTACGTGGTGGTGGAGCACGAATTTGTGGATGCTGCTGCGGTCTTGACGGCATCGGCGCTTGATTTGGCTTTTTTGGGGGAGGGCCTCTATATGCGCGCTGCGCTTGCCCACTGGGTCCCGGCCGATTTTCGAGATCAGGAATATTCCGCTGGTTGGCTGGGAAGCCACGTGGGATCGGAGGAAGCGGGACCGGAGCGGCGGAGACCGAAATCTCCTCGATCGTCTCGATCGTTTGCTCCTCACTAAAATAATCATAAAAATCCTTTATTCGATCCACACCTGTACTCCATATCATCGACAACAACCTCCGCTTCGAACGCTTCAACAATCTCTTCCGCAATTTTCACATTATCTTCTTGCGACTCGGACTGGCGATCACGGGTGCCCTTGTGCATGTCGAAATGGACGTAGTCATCTGAAAAAAATGTTTTTCTAGTTTCATCTTCGCTTTCTTCTACTCCTTTTTCTATTTCAAAATCGAAACACGAAGTTTGAAATCCCAAAAGCCATATAGAAACCAAATGCCCACCAAAACCAGCCGGGCGCCGTCTCTTTCGCGCTGATCGCTCGCTGGCCAGCGATTCGGTGGTGCTATCATTGCGTTGGCGAGCCGGGCTTTTCATCGGAGATCTATAAATTTAGAATTAATCTACTAAACTTTACTGGGTATCGAAAAAGCCGCAATTAAACCCACTTTTCCTTTATCGGCTTCTCGACCACATTTTTTGCCGCCTTTGAATTAGATTCCATGTTCTAAAGATATTTATTTATTAAGATTAGATTGCGCTACCTCTACGGCAGGTCGATTTTCCGAAATATTCCTCTGCCGACTTGGGCTCTGAACCGCCACCTCCTTCGGTGGGCTGGCGCGACGAGGCGTGCGTTGGCCCCTGCGTGATGCTGGGGATTGTGTATCGGAAGTCGCGGCGCTCTGCTCGGCTTTTCTAAATTAAACAATATTAAAAAACCGGTTATAGACACCTGAAGACCTTGGTTTATTGCTACGCTGCCTCTGACACTGGCACAAAGCATAAACATTACTTACATAATAGGTTTCACGTCCTTAATGTCAACATCCGCGTCAACTTCCGAATTTTGAGTCGTACGTCGTGTTCTAAAAGTCATTAAATTTTTTATACGCTTTTAAAGAACCTAGTAGGTGTTCCTTCACTTTTGCTGGCATGTTTTGACGGGGAATCCGGGGCGCCAGTCGTCTCGGTGCCTTTTCGTGTCCTAAAGTATCAATTTTATGTATTTTACAAAACTGTAGCCAAACCTCATCCTGTATCGACGCCTTCCACCAATTTAGCGCCAACTTTCAGCGGCCAATCCGGTGTTTTCGATCTGGAAACAGCGGGTGCAACGTCGTGGATATGCATCGTGGCGTCAAACAAGTTGCATACGATTTTTGTTGAAGCTTTTCCGCCACTCCCCATCGAACAAAAATTCTACCGTAAACCCGAGAAGGTAATTTTAGAAATGGATGTGCTAATGTAAAAGGTCCCGCAAGGATTGTCTGAGGTGGTAACCTATCGGTGAAGCGATTCCCGGCAAGACCCGCGTGGGTCCAGCGGCGCGCCGCGACCGCAACGCGCCTCTTGGGGAACCCGATGCATTACGCGATGGTATTCGCGCGGAAATGTTGCGCGTAGGAAAGGAAGTTTGAAAAACTAAAAATAGTGAGTACAATCTTGAATCGAAGTATCTACAAAATCTATAAAATTTTGATTAGCGACGTGACAAAAAACCGTGTAAAATGACGAAAAAACTTCGAAAACCTCACATATTTTAATTCTTAGGCTACGTTCAAAGTATTTTAAGCAATTATATAAGCTTCTTAATGTTTCAAAGCAAGTTTAGTGCGAAAGATTACGAAATTTTTACAAAGCGAAATGTTCGATATCGTCCTCTGTTGTCCTGTCGATTTCTTGTATTTTTGATCTATGAAAAAGTGTATGATCCATTAATCAATATAATTTATTCAAGCACATAATAATATACAAAAATAAACGAGAGATAAACAGAGTGCGCGATACCCGGAAGTGTGGGATTTGATCGATTTGTGTCCATGCAGGAGGGGGAAATCGTTTGGGCGGTCTGGGGTGGGGAGCCGTTTTTGTACTATTAACCGGGCTAATCTCGAGATATGAATTGTTTTAGAGGTATATGGAAGTCAGGAGAATTTAATGAGAACCAAAACTACGCCCTGAAAGTTTTTGAACTCTCGAAATAATTTTCGTGTTTTGCTTGTTTAAAACCTGCTAATAACGTAGATTTTTCTAAATTCTGGCTTCCATAAACCTTGAAACAGCAACTGCTGAATTATGGAGCTATAAAAACAACAAAAGACGATCGTTTTCATACATCAGAAGGCACTCGGCTCCGTTTCGGTTCCTGGGATAGGAAGGCGCCGGACATCAGTCGCGAGAATCGGCGCGCCGCCTCGTACTAAAATCAAATTATTAAAACTTTAACATTTTAATTTTTCCGCGCACAGGCGTTCTACGATTCCTACAGTAGAATCCATAGGCTTCCGGTTTCTTCCGGCTAGCGAATAATTATGAAATTCCAGATTTCCAGCTGGCCCATTAAAAGTCGTTTCTTTGAACTCATAATAACTTAATAAAAACTAATATCCGAGAATTTTTACAGGTGATTTTCGTTAGTTACGTAGATCAATGATTTTGGCTACAGTAAGAAAAATCCAATTTTTTGTACTTCTAGAGTGTCTAGTGGGTTTCTACAGTAGATGATCAAACAAAACGGCTAAAACTCAAAAAGCTAGCACAGCAAGGAATCTAGGAACTTCAGGTTCTTGCTCAAAAATACGATATTTTTGGCTGATTGGCTGATTTTGTAATTTTCTACGTCATCAGTAGTGTAGCGTGGTGAAGCCTACTGTAGGCCGTCAATCGATTACGTCATGAAACATAGGAAACGTCGTATGAAAACTTTTTCGCTTTTCCTAGGCTAAAAAAGAGTTTATACGAATTAAGTGACAAATTCTAGGAGTCGGAATGTACGTTACACTCCTCTTTACAAACTCCCTAGATACTTGGTTCTGGAATATTTTCGTGTAGCGCAAATCTACAGCACGCCTACGCTACACTCCTCTCTACACACGATTTGTAAGCTACCCTAGGCACCATTTACAGTACCCTCACTCGGAAAAAGTCACGCATTTGAAAGTAAACCAAGGGATAGGCAGCCAAACAGTTCAACTTCCGCAATGCACCCATGTACATCACACACACCTCAATCTGTGTACGAGGGATAGGAGATGTTCAGCGAGTTCGTCGAGCGTTGCCGCTCGACCCTTGGGCTCATCGATCTTGTGGTCGGGTTTAGCAGCTCATCCGAAGCATCTGTCTTGAGGGGTATCGACGACTGCGAGCAGTTCCGCCGGACGAACGAGGTCCCGGTGACGAATGTTTGCTGCTTGCAGACCTAGGAAGGGCACGCTTTAGAGGGGGAAATCGGGGGCAAGTGGGTGTTTCATGTGTGGATTGGATTGGGGCGTAGTGATTGGCAAATTTAGCTATTAACGAGTGATGTGCTCGAGTTGGAATGGTCCTTTGGAGATGATGTTCGGATTTTAAAGGTTCTAGAAGATCAGGATTACGGTAGAAAGCGCGGTTTTTAGCAGAACAAGATGAAACCGCAAGGTTTTTCTAGTATTTTCAATAACCCCAATAAGGGGAGGCTTAGCGCTTTAAAGCAAGGAAGGCAAAATGGCAGTAGGGAGCGTTTTAGACTACGATAGAAAACGCGCTTTTTAGCAAGTTTAGCTTCGAAATTTCGGAAATGCAAGGAACTTGGCCTCTAACAATCATAAAGCTGTAGCTTTTATTCGTGCTGGTACCTTTCTGCAAAAATCAGCACGCTTGGGGCTGGAAACTACCCAAAAAAAAAATAAAATTTCGAGGTAGTCTGTAGCCTAGCATAGTGCTGCCAAGCTTATATTAATTTTTATGATGATTTTATCACGATTAAGTGAATTTGCTAGTTTTTTGCTTCGTGAAAGTGATTTCTCGTGTTTTTCAGGTGAAATTTGCGTTCCATGGCGCTTTGCCCAAACTTACATTGGCTAACATCATAGTACTCCTGGTCAGATGCCCCTTAAAAGCCTCGGGATAAATGGGAGCATTAAGGAGAGGCATAGAAAAGGCAAAATTAAAGATAGTCCAAGAAGTAGGAGGCGGAAAAAAAAGAAGCGGAATAGATGAGGGGCCAACTGATATTAGTGGCGGAAGTGGTGCAAGAACGTAAAAAAACGGGTGGTGTGTGGGTTACGGTAGAATGGAAAGTAGGGGTTAATGGATACTTGATAGAAGTTGATATGAAAATTACCTTCATGGAGTTGTCGCGATTTCGGCAAGACCGTAGAAGGTTGCTGAACGCGATCCGGAACTGCTCGTTGAGGAGGGCGTACAGGATGGGGTTCCAGACTGTTGAGCTGAAAAGAATGAGATAGGCTTAGGTTTAGGATTAGGATTAGGTTGGGCTTAGGCTTAGCTTAGCTTAGCTTAGCTTAGCTTATGTTTAGGCTTAGGCCTACCTCATCGAAATACAGTGCGTCACAATGCCGTAGAAGTAGATCTGCTTCACGATGAAGCGCGGCAACCAGTTGTAGTCTCTCAAGAAGTTGAACGCCACTGCCGGCATCCAACAGCAGAAGAAGACGCCGACCTGAAGGAGTTCAAGTTAATTTCATGAAAATATAATTTTTAATGGCATACAAATTATCCAAAAAACGTTATCTATTTTCTTACCATGGCAATCAACATCCGGTTTGTTCGTAACCGCCTTTTCATGGCATTTTTGCGCTGCTCCGTGAGAATTCCTTCTTCTGCTCGGACGAGAACGCCCTAGAAAAAGAATTGTCTAACCTATTTTGGATTTTTATTTAAAGTTGATCCGTTGAAGTTGTACCCCTACCTTGCTGAGCTTGATCGATATCATCGAGTAGCAAAAGGTGATGATCACGAGCGGGAAGATGAACTGGATGACAAAGACGACAGTGCCTAAAGCAGCGTTTTCGAGGTTATTCCGTTTTTTACCGTATACGGTCCTCAGCTGCTCGTTGTCCTCCCAATCTTCAGTGCAGATCTCCCCGCAGAAGTTCTAAATAATTTTTAGAGGTTTATTAAGGTATGGATACCTCGTAGATGACCAATCTTTGCTTGATAAACATGGGGAAAGATATGGACATGGCTAGACCGGCATTGAAGGCTACCAGCTTCATCGCTGTTGACATTCGGATATGCCTGAAATTTTTGTTTTAGCCAATTTAGGCTTGGTTTTAAGCGTACCCTTCGACTTACAACAGTTTAAGCTACAACCTATATAAAAAACGGCATAAGCTTACCTTTTTGTTGGGAATATGATTAGGAAAAACCGATCTATCGAAATGGCCATTAACGTCAGGGTGGAAAAGCATAGAGAAGTACCCTAAATACTTGTTAAGGTATCGATTTTTCGTGCATACCTGTATCAAGGGCACCAAATAGCACAGCTGGGCGCCGAACAGCCAAATCTTTGAAAAGGCTGTAATCGGCGTGATCGAGCCGGAGACCACTGAGACGACAATGTCCGAGCAGGAGAGGGATACTGAAAAATTGGGTTTAAAGGGACAGTGAAGCCGGAAAAAAGGTATTTTTTTTCTGTGGATTTGGGGGCAGTGCTGTCAAATTTCAAACTCACCGATAAAAACATTCCTAACCGATTGCAACGATTTATTTTGGAGTACGGAGAGGATGACGAGGAGGTTGCCGACTACTCCGAATCTGAAAATATACCGTAATTGAATAGTTTTAGGGATTTTAAAGGTCTTGTCAAGCCACAAAAAAACTCTAAATTCGTCCAGATTTTGGCATATTTTGACTAAATCATTAGTAGAAGCTAGGCAACCATCCTTTCAAGACGTTTAACGTAAAGGTATCAAACCCGAGATTTTTCAATAGTTTTTGGATGTTAAAAATGCTGGCAAAAGTCCGAATACATTTAAAGTACATTTTTTATCTTATTCCCAAGGTTCAAATCAGCGGGGGCAGGATTCAACAAGTTCGCCGGGTTTAGCAGGTGTTTAGGCGTTAAAGTATATTTCGTCTGTTTTATTAAGCATCCAGCTAAACCTACGTAATAAACACCGAGTAGATGACGCCGAAGATTGTCTGCGTCTCCGGGAGGAGCGTAATGTCAGACTTGTTCACCCACAAGTGCTCTCGGATATCCTCGCAGTCGGGTCTCATTGCATAACTGGAAGAAAGGATGGGGGTAATTTGCGAGCTGGATCACATCATTTTTGGAGCACGAGGAATTAGAAGGAGCAAAACACGCAAAACCAAATTCCCTGGAGATCGGGAGCAATGCGAAAATAATGAAAAAAAAAGTCGGGGCAAACAGTCAAAAACGGAGGTTAGGCCATCGTGATTGGGCTTTTTGAAGGGAATTGGGTTTGCAGAAAGTTGGAAGTAGGCTTGGGCTTGGGCATGGGCTTAGGTTGGACTAGGCTTAGGCTTAAACTTCGGCTTAGGCTTAGGCTTGATTTAGGCTATGGCTTTGGTACAGGGTCTCACAAACCAAAAAATGGCCGATCATGCTCCCAATATCTCAAAACGTCTGGCCAACAAGGGCGAGTGCTAGGATTTCGGTAGTTTCCAGGGCTCAGCAGGGCATTATTGGAGTTTTTTCTAATCCGAAAAGCTCAACAAGGAGTAGGAGATTTTTGAGGGCGGAGGCCATTCCCGAAAAATAAGTGTTTTGACGGATTTTAAGGATCCAAACGATGTGGAACAATGGATTATGTCAATGTCCGAGAAAACGGACTGTCTAGAGGCTAAGAGTATCCTCTAGATCATAGATTTAACAAGCTTAACTTATAGGTATAGGAAGTTAAACTTAGAAAAAAGATAAAACAGGACAAAAAAAGGTTCCACATAATTCCCATCAACAACTCGAGCCGTTTCTGGTCCGGCCAGTCAGGTAGTAGCCGGTAATTCCCGCCGAAAATTGCCCGATACAATGTTTACGCCCTACACTTCAGCTTCACAGAGCCATTCAGGGAATAGCCCAGCCACCATTACCGTAATTTGGCGAAAAAGGGGAAATTGGCACGTTGCCAATTCCCCCGGACTAGCCGAACCGTCATTTTAGTTTTTTAAGGGCAGACTTCAGAATCAGGTGGCGGGTAAAATTAGGGGGTTGGAGTTGTTTTTGGATTTCGATGCAACACAATATACTTCCGAAGCGTCTAGGAAAACAGGGCAACGTGGTTTGGAATGTTCTGGAAAATTGGTAGTTTAGAGAGTTTCGAAGATCATGAAGCAGTTGGAAAATGGGACTAGACTTCGGGTGCACGAAAAAAAGGATTTTTGCTGGAGAACAACCGCAACGCCTTTATGCAGATGATCTCGCAGGTACATGCCCAAAAGCGTAGCCGTATTCGTTTGGAAAATCGGGTAACAGCACCCTAGGCCTTGGTTTTTTGCCAGCAACAACTTAACATTAAGAAGCAACCAAGAAAATGTAGCAAAAGCCATACCGGAAGCCGCCTATAATGTAGCATTTTGCAATTCCGAAAAATATCACCGCGCAATACCTGAGAAATGACCGGAGACAGATGACCGAAATTCCGCCCGGCTTTTGCGGCCTAATGGGGGCGTAGCACGGAAATTCCAGTATTCCAGCCCCATTTTTATTTCCAGCCCCACCCCCATGCAGATGTTATTTGCCGGAAAGGTGTTGCGTACTTTGGGACCGACGGGGTGGGGTTCGGGTTGCCCGCGCCCGCGCAACGCCCGGCAACTTTATTGCGTGGGGTGCTAACTGGGATCCGGGAATTCGCAGAGCCTGGAAATTACGTAAAGCGGCCTTCACCTGGCTACAGTAACCTAATTGCGGAGATCCTTGTCTTGGCATCAAAGTCCTGACATTTCTTTCGAAAAAGCGCGATCCGCAGCGCGCTACATGAAGTGTCAGGCGAGGCACCACCTGATGCACTGCGCCATGAAAGCAGCAACCAGATATGCAATACAGTAGCATGCAGGTCCTAGGTGAATTTTTCAAGCCGCAACACGCTATGCGTACTCGGCTAGGTTTTCATCAGCAGGATATGCGAAACGTGTCGCGTAGTCCGCGTCGTGTGTCGCGTTGCGTCGCGTTGTGCATAGCGTTGCGTCCCGCGTTGCGTTCCGCGTTATCTACCGCGCTGCGCGCCGCGTTGCGTGCCGCTTTGTGCAACGCATCGTGTACCGCATCCATACCCATGACTTGCTGGGCCCTTTAAGCCCAAAAATCTAAATGTTCCATTGGTGACGCATATAGGAGCAAACCCTCAAAAACAGCGGCGGGGTACGGTAGCGGTACACTGCACGGTGCAATTACTTTTGCATAAAAACCAAATTTCTGGGATGGAAGTTAAGGGTATTTTTGGTTGGAGGGGCTGTGGTCGTTAACTTTGCACCTGGACAGCCTTTTCTGGGGACAATCAGGATTCGCGCGGGGGACAAGAAAACGGATGGATCTGCTGGTTTGGTCCCGGAACTGAGAGTTGGGTGATTTTTGAGGCTTTGGAAAAACGGAAGTTTTGCATAAAATGCATTAGGCTTAGGCTTAGGCTTTAGCTTCGGATTAGGTCTAGGCTTAGACTTAGGCTTGTTCTTATGCTTTACGCCTACATGGAGTGCAATTTTTAATTTTTGTAATAGTATGGTGACGTTTTAAAAATAGATAGCTTAACAAAAATAGCTACAGGTTTTGGACTCAAAAAATCTCACCCGCTTTTCCAAAAAACCAAAGTATTTTGATCCGGCTGGTCGGATAACCGGCATCCCGAAATTCCCAAAAAAAATAGCCACGTCCTATTGACGCTATTCAGACAATGGCAAGAACGCAAACCTGGACCCCCCGAAAAATTAACCCAATTCATCGTGGCCGAAAAATCGGGAAAGCCGGACCTCCGGCTAATTCTGGGCCCATTCATCCGCCCATGAAGCCGCGCAAAGCCTTTTAGGATTTGGTGGGCGCCTCCCCCCCCTAATTTTTCCTTCCGCCCCCCAGGCTCGCATTGCCCCCGGCACACCCTTGGAAATTTGACACCCGGGGGCGATGGCTGGCTAGGGGGGGGGGAGGAGGGGCAAATACAAATGAGCCGCAATATGCAATATTTGAGCCTGAACACGGGGGGAAAGGAGGGAGGAAAAACTGGGGGCCGTGCGGGGGCAGACGGCAGAAAAAGTTCGATGATGGTAAATTTTCGGAAAAGTAAAGTCCAGGTAATTCATAGAACTACGGAAATCAGCGTAGTATAATAATTTATTCAGTCGAAAAGGGAAAAAATCCAGTCTGAGAACCAAAAAATAACAAGTAAATAGCCGAATTCGGTAAGCCTGACTTTGCCGTTCGATTTTTCACTCTCGCTCTCTTACTCTCTCGCTCTCTCTTTCTCTCTTTCTCTCTCTCTCTCTCTCTCTCTCTCTTTCTCTGTCTCTCTCTCTCCCTTTCTCTCTCTCTCTCTCTCTCTCTCTCTCTTTCTCTCTCTCTCTCTCTCTCTCTCTCTCTCTATCGCCCTCTCTCCAGACGCTTTGTCACCAATTTTGCAGCATAATTACATAACGTCAAAACAACAAGCTGATGACACTAATTTCCTTAGACTACAAACTTCTCGCGTGCATTTTTTGCTGCAAAATTGAGATGAGCAATTCTTTGGGCTACACTCAATTTTTGGGATGCGGTCGGACCCAGCATGGCGCCAATTTGGGGCTAGCGGTGAAGATTACTAAGTCAAAACGACATAAAGCACAACTTCTTACTACCGAAACGACCCAGGGTACGGTATGCGTGCCTCCTCCTCGTTGTTCAGGGAATTTGCTCAGCGCCCAGGTGCTCGGGTTTTTTTTTGGCTTCTCTTTTGCCTGGGCCTGGATAAAATGTCTATTTCGTGGCGAGACAAGAAACCCTGGCCAGGCGGAGGCAATCAGCATACGTCAAAATGCGCAACGCTCATGTACAAGGTACAAAAAGACGATATAACTGGTAATTTTTGAGGGGTAACTACGCAAAGTGGCGGGTGCTGCCAAGTCCAGCCGGTTTGTTATGGAAATTAGGGGTTGGCAAGTGGAACGAAAAGTTAGAAAAAAAAATGGGAAACAGCGAAAAACCTTGAAAAAGGAAATTGGGAGAAAACGGCTATTAAGCGGGTTGTTAAAGGACTTGGAAGCCACAGATTCGACTCATCTTGTTGACTAGGTCTTGACAGATCCGTGGCGCTACAAAGAAGATATTCTTATTTAAATAAAGTCTGTCGATACCTAGACGAGTGAATGCGCCGATTAATACCACCTACTGGCTTTATGAAAAAGCTTTCGAAAAGTAAAAATTTTTTTAAAGTTTACACCTAAGGTTCTGGAAAAGTCAACGTTTAAAAAACACGCTGTAAAAATAAGTAAAAGCTGCAAAATTCACCCGAGAATCTGATGCAATAAAGCCTGGAAAATCTTTGGTCTAACGTCAGGGTAAATCGGCCAATTTTAGTCCGAATCTGGTGGCACGTTTGAGGCCATTGAAGCCAGGCCGGCAACTCGTTGACCTAAACCCCGGGGTGTGGTGGATGTGGGCAAACAATTCTTCCTCTTCCTAGCTTTCTCCTACCTTCCGTGGCCCATTCAAAATTGCGTTGAAAAAGCCGGAACAGTGTAACGACACCTGGGCGGTTGACCCCCATAGAACACACAGAAGTGACACTTTTTGAACGCACTTACAGGTTGGCAGAATAAAGTTTAGAGTTTAGTTTTATAATTTTAGGAGTTTAGATCTTTCAAAAGTTGTTTTAAGCCTTGGAAAACAGAACTAGAGCTTGGTGCCTCTAACAAGGGAAGTGCAAGGTGAACAATGGGCGGGTGAACTTTCAGAATTTTAAAAAATTTTGCGAAAAGGTCAACGCGTTCGGGTAGGAAATGACGTAATGAGATGTAGAACGTAATGGCAAAGGTATTTTGTCAGTCCAAAAATGTAAAGTATGTATTTTTGGGCTTCAAAACCTAAATATTCGAGCAAAAAATTGCGAAAAACTGTTTTGAAAAAACCAACCATTTTGAAACCTTAAAGACAATTTCTAGATACTTGGTTCGCAAGATAAATGGTAAAAACAAAAAAAATTACGTGACAGAACCGCATTAATTATACACACAAAATTACGTAAAAATTTGCCATTTTAACATTTCGATCGCATAATTTACATAAAGGCCATGAT